ATTTTGGATATTGATACTTCTACATCCTGGAGAGTGTTGTTCACTTGGTTGGCTGTTGTGAGGGGGTTTCTCTTCACTGTGGAGATTATTCTGCCTTCATCCACCACTGCTGTCTTCCATGGGCGCCCAGGTCTTTTTGCATTAATGAGTTCACCAGTTCTTTCTTTCTTTCTTTCTTTCTTTCTTTCTTTCTTTCTTTCTTTCTTTCTTTCTTTCTTTCTTTCTTTCTTTCTTTCTTAGGATGCACCAAACTGTAGATTTTGCCACTCTTAATATTGTAGCAATTTCTCAGATTGGTTTTTTCTGTTTTTGCAGCTTAAGGACGGCTTGTTTTTTCATCTGCATGGAGAGCTCCTTTGACTGCATGTTTACTTCACAGCAAAACCTTCCAAATGTAAGCAGCACACCTCAAATCAACTCCAGGCCTTTTATCTGCTTAGTTGAGAATGACACAATGAAGGGATTGCCCACACCTGTCCATGAAACAGCCTTGGAGTCAATTGTTCAATTACTTTTGGTCCCTTTAAAAACAGGGTGGCACATGTTAAGGAGCTGAAACTCCTAAACCCTTCATCCAATTATAATGTGGATACCCTCAAATGAAAGCTGAATGTCTGGACTTTATGTCCATGTACATTATATAACTATAACTTGAATATGATTCAGTAAACAGGTAAAAAGACTAAATTTGTGTCAGTGTCCAAATATATGTGGACCTAAGTGTACTTTCTTTTCAAAAACTATTTATCTAACTCCACCTAAAATAGTCTGAGAATTGGTTGAATAAACACATTGTACTTCATAAKCAGCTAACCAGGCAGCCACAAGAAATAAACTCTAGCTAACTAGTTTGACATTTCTTTAACAGGTGTCAGCTGATAGTTTGTAAATCACTGATGATTCAAACTSTTTCCTGGAYRTTCTGCTGCTTTTAGCATGAAGTCTTWCTCCAAGAGGACCATGGTGAGGACCTTGAAGCTGTAGCTGGTTCCACAGGACAGCYTTGAGRTGTCATGACAGGAGTGTTYAACTTTCTGTTTAACAAAATTAAAAAGATGGACCTGTTTTTTTTGACAGCCATTCTCTTTGGAAACCTCGGTGCCCATGTAGGCAGTGACAAAGTCACCTGGAGCTGAGTAATTGGAAGAAATAAAGTCTCTGATCTAAATCTGTTTTGTTTTTTTTAGATTAATGTGTGAGACATGGACAGCAGTAGATAGCAATCATAAATAAACCATAAATGTACTTGTTACTAGGACACCTTGGACCAAATTTTGATGATTGACTAGTGCATTTAAAGACTAAGGGAGGTTGGGAAAGTTGAAACTGAATAGGTCATGTTCAGAACCTCCATTGCAGATGCACAGAAAGTCATTGATGCCTTTTACAACAGCATCTGGAGGACACGTTGGTGGACACCAGTGGTGCCGCATTTTCCAGCAATGTGAACGTAGCCTTAGAAACCCTGAAGCAACTCACAGGTACCAAGTGACCAGAAGGTTGGATGCTTCTATGGTTGTGAAAACAAAAACTTCGGCATGGGAGGAATTCAAATGGTCACAAAGGACTTTTGGTTGAACTTTAGAATATTTTGGAAAGCCATTTGATTATTTGTAAAGGAAAAGCAGGGTCCACCCCAAATAAGGAATTAGGGAAAGTCAGGTTCATTACCTTTGCCAGAGACTGCTACTYCATTTGAATAAACTAAATAAATTGAGTAAATATAAATTATTTTAATAATTATCTTTTCCTTGAAACAGTTTATATAGTCTGCCAAGCTTGTGTGTGTGGTAATGTCTCTGTTTTTATGCATGTTTGCCTGCATGTGTGTCCTCGTGGACTCGGCTTTGAAGCTGTGCTGAGACCAGCACTTCCTTTATGCTTGCTGAAAGTCCGAGGGATTTTGGCTAAACAAAAAGCTCTCCAGGGAGTGAAAAGGCCTTGAATGCTTACTAATGTGCCAATCTCTTCACAGGCAGCAGCGCATGTGTTCATATGCCCCAGTTTGGTAAAATCATATGAGTGATGAAAAACAATTAAGTCAACAAACAAAAGAATGGTTTACACTTCATAAAGCACTTTTATCTSTACGCTTTATTCACCACAAAGTCGAACTGCATTGGATGAAACAAGGAATTTTTTGGTTTCATTCAATAAGTGTAAMATTTTAACTCGGCTGTATTTTTAAAGTTTTCATTTGCTTTTAATTGTATTTTGGTTCCTGTTTTAATTAATTTGATTCCTAATCCTTGCAGCCCATCATTGCTGAGGTGATGTTTGCAGGTGTGGGAGCAATCCTGCTCAATGCTAGTATCATAGGGCTTTCATAGAGGTAATACTGTGAACCTTTGAACAGTTTAATTCCATCTGCACCACACAGACCAGCATCAATGTCCGACAGGGGCAATGGCACATCTCGGGCAATAATCCTGGGAGTGGCAGTGAGCACAACATCCCGCATTGTATTTCCTGTAGAAAGAGATGTGAGTTAGCTCAAACTAATATTAGCAAGTCTACAATCTAACCCTAACATAACTACAAGCTAACATGCTCACACCTACAAGCTAAGCCTTGCATAGCTACAGGCTATACAGGCTAACATTAGCATAACTTTTTTTCAGCCACTTCAGTAGAAAACAGAACTTAATATTAGTTTCTTCATTTTCTGTGTCTTTTTAGAGAAGTAAATCTAGAGAAGAAGAAAAATAAAGAGAAGAAAAAGGAGAAATATAGTGGGAAAGACTGAAAGAGAGATTAGAAGATATGTTAAATATACACCAAGAACACACAAGACAATACACCCAACATCTGTCTGCACACCTGCAAAAATGAAGAAGACAAAAATACAGCAACAAAATACATGTGTATATATAATAATAATTATAACCTTGCTAAAAAGTACACATACATACATATATCCATACAAACATATATAGATACACACACACACACACACACACACACACACACACACACGCACGCACACACACACACACACACAGTTGTTTTTATATCCTTGTGGGGCCGTCCATTGACTTCCATTCATTTTTGGTAATTTTATATCCTAACCCTGACCACAAACCCTAAGGCTAACCTCACAGGTACCTTCCTGACCCTAAAACTAACCTAAACTCAAGTCACACCTTGGTCCTAAACCCAACCCTCACACCCAAAATCAGCCTCTGAAGTTCTGGGGCCCAGGCTTTGGGCTCAGAGCCAGCCCCTCCAGAGTCATGAGTAGGCATCCTGGTTCCCCGGTTCCTCGAGACCCACCCAGGGAGTGAGGCCCCAACACCTCTTCCTCCGGACAGACTGCCAGGCCCAGGTAGCCCTAGACCATGGATGGACAGAGCCCAGAGGACCGCCAGAAACTGGGACCACTAGTCCACCCACCCCAGAGCCGTCCAGACCCCCAAGACCCAACCCCCAGCTCATAGCCAGCTCGCAGCCCAAAGAAGCCACCAAACCCCAGCAAGGCAGATTCAGCTGAGAGTGCCTACCCAGCCACCAACAGCGCAAGGAGGCCATTGACAGCAAACCCTGTTTTTTGTTTTTAATGTTGTAAAGTGTCCTTGGGTGTTTTGAAAGGCACTAACAAATAAAATGCATTATTATTATTANATCCCACCCCTTGCATGCCATAAGTTCCCACCCCCTCAAAGAGGACACCAAACCGCAGCACGGAAAATTCAGCCAAGAGTGCACACCCAGCTGCCTATTATTACTATTACTATTATTATTAAACCCCCACCACAACAAAGGGGCCAACCAGCCGACCCAGCACAGACCCGGCCGCCACCCAAGGCCATCTACACAGCCCCTGCCCCAGAAGAAATGCTATACCCACCACAACATTCAGATAACTCTCAGAATATATAGCACACCAGACACTCAGACTGAGTCAACCTACCCCCCAGCCAACCCAACCCCCCAGCTCATGAGACCCGTAGCCCACCAGCGCACTGAAGGACTCCAGTTCAGAGCCAAGCACCAGAACACAAACTGGCCCATAGCCCCGGCAACCCGCCCGCCAGGGCCCAAGCCATCCGGCCCCACCAGGACCACAGCCCAGGGGCGGCATGACCCCAGAACCCCAAGCCCCACTGCCCACACCAAACCCACCTCGGCACAGCCAGGCCACCGGGTCAGCGACCCATGACAGCCGCTACAGACCACCTGAGGACCAGCATGCAGCCACCCGAAGCTACAATCTGAACCACCAATGCCCTCTCCAGGGTGAGAGCCACTGTCCCCCTGCCCAGAAACCCCCTGCAGCCCAGCCTCCGAGGGCCCCCACCCCTGATGCCCCAAACCCCAACATCCCCACCCCCACATCATTTGCATAACTAAAAGCTAACAAACCTATGAGCTAGCACAAAGAAACCTACAAGCTAACCCTGGAATATCTACAAGCTAATTTTAGGAAACATACGTTAACATTTCCAAACCTACAAGCTAATCCTAGCATACCTACAAGTTAATATTAGCAAACCCACAAGCTAAACTTACAAAACCAACAAGCTAACACTTGCAAAGCTACAGACTACCACTAGCAAACAAGCCTAAAACCAAACTTACAAGCTAACAAACCTAGAAGCTGTACCCTGTAGAAACATCTTTATAAACAACAGTTAATTTCTTATAAACCAAAAATTGTTTTTTGGTTGAAGTCAAAGGTTTACACCCACTCGTAGCTGCGTTTCCATTGCAAATATGCGCAAAACTTTGTCGATATTATGTAAATGTCGAAAAACACAGTTTCACAACTGCAGTGTTTCTATTAAGTAAGAAATGCTATTAAAGTCACGCGTGAATACGTTTGTTCTCGCGATAAGTCATTACAAACATGGCGGCGATGGATGTAAATACATAGCATGTTGCTACCGCGACACTAGCGCTCATTATCAGAGGAGACGTCGGCGTCTTTTATCGAGGCTTTCCAGTGACAATTCCGTACTTTGGAGCGGCTACGTATGCTGTGTTTTTGGGAAATTGTAGTCGGTGAGTTTACTATTTTATACTACTTCTGTGATAATACTACTATTTCTACTTCCTGTTATCTTCTTTGTCAATCTTCTTTTTCGCCTGTAGAAACAGCCGGTTGTTGATCARGTGACTCCTATGATGTGAAAAAAGTGTTTCCATTGCAGTTTTACGAAAATCACCAATTTCGATACAGCTGAAATACCAACCTCATCCTAGCGCAAAAACTTTTTGTCGAAAAACAATTTTTTTCGAAACTGGCATGTTCCCATTGAGCTAATTTATTTTCGAAATTCTAATTTACACATTTTCATGGTCAATGGAAACACAGCTACAGACATGAAAAGTAACAGGTACAAGTATTCCTTCATCCCTATAGCTATTTCTCTCTTTAATAAAGGACAAAGTAGGGGGACTTGCATCTGAGTGTTGGGGTTCTTTGATACCAGTGATTGTAGTAACTGTTCACTGATTTATATTTGTTGTGCTTTGGGGCACTGGATTGTACTGTATTTAATTTGTTACAACCTTTTAAAATTTTGTATACATGTTTTTAATTTTGAACTTTTTTATGTCTTGTATGTATTTGTACCATGCTCTTGCTGAAAAATTAATTGTCCTTTTGGGACCCGAATAAATCTGAACCTGAACTTGAACATAAATGATAAATAATTTGGGGCCTGAATTTATTTATATAAATTGTTTTTCCACAACTGAAATAATTTACAGCATATAACATCAGTGACTATTTAAAACTAAGAAATGGGAGCACAACTTTGAAGTCTCAAACATTCACATTCTTTTTAAATCGGTGGGGCTTAAGGAGCTACAACACCTTGACAAGGAAATAACAGAGATAAAATCTTACCTTGGATTATATGAGCTGTGTTTTCAGTTGGACATACAAAAGCAGCGTCCACATGGCCCTCGATGCCTAGCTCCTCCCTGACTGGTTTTGGGTAGCCTTCAATCAGGGTGAAGTGAGTGCCTGCTTTATAAATGTAAACCTGATCACCCTAGAGATGTTTGGAAAAGTAAATGACACTTATTTTCATTTTTGTTTCAGTTTCAACCAAGTAACTGGGAGGGATTGGGAATGAGGTCTACCTTAATCATGTAGACTTTATCAGCATATGAGAAAACAGCATCAACGCCATTGGCCACCTCTTTCCATCCTCTGGTTATTGGGAAGGCATGAAACCCATCACGGTGCGTGTCCAGACGCATGTAGATGGAACCTGAAAGATCCAACATTTTAAGTGAAGACTTGTGAAGCAAATCTAAAGTTGTGTCTCTACATTTGTATCGGACCAGTATAATTCCAACACATTCTCACTCCCGACTCGTCAACTTATTGACGCTTGGTCAGATACCCTCTGAATCCAGTTTTGCTGCGTCAGGTAACCCCCTCATGTCAGTTATTCACACCCGTGGCTTTCCTGGGTTGCGCCACATAGGAGTCTTTGGGTTGGAGGTCTGTGGTTAACATGAGGGATCAGGATTAATGGTTAATTTTAGGTACTGGGGTCTGGGATAGGATGTTTATGGTTAATGAAGTTAAATTTAGGGTCTGGGACAGTTAGTTGTTGTGCATTCTCTACACTTTCAAAAATGGTTAATATGAGGGATCAGGGTTAATTTTAGGTATTGAGGTCAGGGATAGGATGTATATGGCTAATAGAAGTTCAATTTATGGGTCTGAGATGGTTAGTTGTTGTGCATTTACTACTCTTCAAAAAATATGACAACTCACTCCTCCTCCGTCATATCTCGTTAATAACTGACGCGAGGGGTGTATCTGACGCGTCCAAAACTGGACGCAGACGATACCTGACCAAGTGTCAATATGTGATGAGCTGGGAGTGAGAATGGGTTGATAATTCAATATTAGAGGTGGGGTTTGGTCAAGTATTGCACTAAAGGTTATGGCCTGACAAAGAGCCACCCACCCCCCCAAAAAACAGATGTGGAATCCTCTTAAATCCAATCTGCTCTGAATCTCAGTTGTGACACCAGTTGGTACCGTCCAATGTTGTGGACATCCAAACCTTTATTTTGCATTGGACAACTGTATCTTGGACAGTAGGGCATTCTTACGTTCCAAATAAAACCAACTATCAAGTCATTTCTTTACTTGCTTAGATGATTAATGGTTTCTGAATTGGGTTGTGGCAGTACCATAGTGAAAGATAACTCTTAAAACTTTGGTCCCGAATTATTGTTTAGCTGAACAACAACAAGTCGTCTGTCCATCCTCCCATCCGTCCACTTTAACCGACTCCTCTCCTCCTGATTCTGTCCCAGAGAACTCATCTTCTACCCAGTCTCTAAGGGATTGTCCAGCTACCATGTGAAGAAAACTCATTTGGATCTCATGTATATGCAGTGTCTTTGTTTTGTTCACTACCCAAAGTTTGTGATCATAGGTGAGGGTAGGAATGTAGACCTATCTGTAAACAGAGAGCTTCACCACAACAGACTGATACAGACTCTGCTATATTGTGAAGCAGCATCGATTCTTATGTCAATCTTGCGCTCAATTCTTCCCAAGATACTTGAACTTCTCCACTTAAGGCCACAAGTCTAATCTGCCAATTTATTCCAAACCTTTGTGAACTAATGTTAATGCCTTTATAGCAAGCTGTGAAGTTGATGAAGTGTTTCACCTACATCTCTGTAGCACAGGTCAGAAGCACCCTCTTTTCTTACCTGAGAAGTAGTAAATTCTGCCTGCGTCATCTGTAGTGGCAGCATCAAGTTTGACATTGTGGCATTTAAGGGGTGCAGCATTACCGCCATGACCTGCAGTTAAGCACAAAACAGTATGGGTGTTTCTTGTACAAATCAATCCCAGTGTATTATAGCCCTGGCAGGCCACCATGCTTTAATTGCCACCACGCTAAGCATCATTTGATCATTTAAGGGCAGCACCAACAGTGATGGTGGCAACAGGATAAGTGGCTTGGACCAAGCTTTGTCAACTTTGCACTCCATTACCACTTCCACCGCCACCCCACATTAAAATCAACACTTGCGTGCTACCTCTACCACCAGGCTTAGCAAGTTTTCTAGGGAAACCCTGCAGTTCGATTTGTTGAAGGACTCACCAAAGTTAGGGCAGTGCATGAAATAGTGGCGGGCGTCTTTGGGGTAGGAGCCGGTCACCTCTCCTGTCACTGGCTGGAAGCGGGTGAAGTTGTGTCCGTGGAAGCAGTAATAGTGTTCTAGCCATCGGAAAACAGAGGTGCAGCCAGGCAAGTGGGACCACGTCTTCGACTTCACTGTTTTAGTGCTTAAATCGTAAACATATACATCCTGTCCTGTGGAGGGGAAATTAGCATTTTTTGATATTATACCTGGATTGATATAATTGTGCACACATTTATACTTTAAACAACCTCAATTTTAAGGAAAATAGTTTAAGACCTCACTTTATTTGTTTGATTCATTTTTTTGTTCACCGTTTAATAAAAAGGCTAAATTACCCATGTCAAACCACTAGTGTGCGAGAACATACATTAATAACAAGACAAAATACAGACAAAAACATATTTAGCTAAGGACTCTACAGGAACATGTTCTCTTCTGTAGCTTGTAGCTGAAGCCTGGTACATACCAAGTACTTGTTAACCTGTATGTGTAGGTATGTTCTGCATATGGATGTACCAGGTACATATCAGGTACTAGTTAGTCTGTATGTACTTGGTATGTATGCAGTACATGGTATGTATGCAGTACATACCAGGTATTAGTTAACCTGTACTTACAGGGTATGTACTTTTATATACTGCATATATCACAGCTAGACCTTATTTAGTGTACAGATTTTGTTTTATTTTTAAACTACATATTTATCTCTTACTGAGATGAAATGTTTCTGTCGCAACAAACCTTTGAAAAACAGAACTGAACTGGTGATGCACTCTCCTTTGGGACACTCCACAGCAGCATCCAGGTGACCTGGGACTCCAGGAAAATCCTCCTGGATCTCTTTTGGATACCCATCCTCCAGATTTTGGTTGAAGTAACTGAACACTTGGTTATTCTGGAGGTTAGATAAACAATCACAGTGAAAGTTTGTTAATATTATAGATGTCCCCATTCTCTGGGAGCCGTACCTGGAAAAGGTAGATGTGATCATGGTCGTCTGGGTTCTCTTGGTTGTGCATGCGGAAGGCAGCATCTACGTGACCACCCAGCTCTCTAAAGGACTCACTGGAGAGCTGCGCTGGCCCACTGAAACCTTTCCAAATATGGCCATCTACGATGAAAGCGTCGTGAGAAAAGCACACATAAAGTTTTTTGTAGGGAAAAACAACAAACCTTAAAAACTGAAACAAGATTGTTTTTAACCCTTAAGTGAAGAGTTTTTCCTACCTTTGAAAAATATTGTGTTTCCCTTCTCATCAGGAGTGATGGCATCAAACTCGATACCTGTGCACCGGTCTGGCACAGCAGCATCTTTATCACCAAGATTTAAATAACATTTACTTTAATAGAATTAGATCATTTTTATGTATAATTAGATATAAGCCAAGGAGAGGATGGATAAGATTAGGAATGAGTTGGGAGAGAAACTCAGAGAGAAGGAGGTCTGCAGGTGTGAATGAGAAGGCAAGGAACAGACAACTATGTTGTCTGGATTGGAGACAGAGACATGGACAAAAAGACAGGTGACAGAACTGGAAGTTTCAGAGCTGAAGATGTTGAGGTTCTCATTGGGAGTGAGCAGGTTGGAGAAGATTAGGAATGAGATCATTAGAGGTACAGCACAGGTTGAAGGACTGGGAGATAAAGTTAGAATGACCAGACTAAGATAGGGGAGGTAAAGGACATTGAATACAATGGACAGAGTAAGATGGAGGAGGATGATCTCAGACGAGGGAACAACTGAAAGAAGTATTGAAATATTTTCTACAAACTCACCGTTTGCTGAGTCCTGCCTGTGAACAATAAATAAAAGTTACTTTTTTGAGCTTCAATTATGATTTGAAATTATCCTTTAAAATAAAAGCCTGTGACATTTCTTTGTCTTTTCAACACCCTCCTGATTACTCACACTGGTGCTGCCTCGCTGAGGACAAACACTAAACACAGAAACAGACTTTTAGAGATCAGCTCCATGGTTCTTGTCCTGCTGAAAGTCCTGGAAGGAGCCAAACCCAGGCTTTTATTTTGAAACCTGAGTGCGTTTAATGTATTCGGAAACTCCAGGGTTGCATGACCTCAGCGGTGTGTTTGTTTGCGCAAAACATCAGGGTGAAAGTTCTGTTGTTGCAAAATGAGTCATTTAGAATTTAACACATTAATATTTATTCATCTTTATTATTTTCTTTTACAGATGTGACAACAAACATGCTAATATCTGGAGGTAAAGAAGAAAGTGGTGTCTAAATCTAAATTGAACAGTTTGATTAATTTGTTACAAAATCCATATTTAAGACTTGTAACCTCTCTCTGTTCCAGTTTTTTGTTTGATTAGATTGTGTGTGTGTGTGTGTGTGTGTGTGTGTGTGTGTGTGTGTGTGTGTGTGTGTGTGTGNGTGTGTGTGTGTGTGTGTGTGTGTGTGTGTGTGTGTGTGTGTGTGTGTGTTTTAAACTATTTACATTTGGGAACTTTAGCAGATGAAACAAACAGAGAAATTTCCAGAATCAACTAATAAATACCACTTGTATTAATTACACTGATTGATATACTAAATTAGTAGCACAAACARACACAATATCTACATGTTCTGTGCTCTCAGTAATAAGAATGTCTTAACTCTTATTTTTATTTAAAAGCAAACCTTAAGTTGTTGTATTTATAACAAATGGATTATTTGTCCTATAATAACTCTACTTCAGGGTTATTTAACAAATTTGCTCAGGGGTCCAACACCTGGCAAATATTGTCATTATTTATTTAATGATTTAAATTCTAGTTTTATTTTAGCCCTCCTGCTTCTCTTGGTTCAAAATGTACTTTTTACAGAATCATATCACTGCTAACATGTTTGTCATTTCAGGATTTTAAAATGTTTCTCTTGCTGATTTAGTTTTTCTAATTTATTTTTAAATGAACTCATTGTTGGACATCGTCTTTATTAACTATGAGAAAAAAATCATAAAGCCTTCTCATTTGTCAGCTCATCAAACATTATTACCAGTTCAAACCATGTAAGAAGTAGTTGTTTACAAATTTAAAGTCAGTTCTGATATTTTAAAGTGAGGTACTAGAACAATGAATGAATATCTTGCAGTTCTTTGGATGATGGTGAAATATTTGATCAAATTGACAAGCTAATGTCTTGCATAGGTTTGCTAATGATGGTTAGTAGTTTTGTTAGCTTGTGAGTTTGCTAGGGGTAGCTTGCACGTTTGGTACGGTTAGCTTCTAGGTTTGAAAGGTTGACATTAGTGATGGGATAAATGGCTCTTTGAAGGGATCCAGATCTTGACGAGCCATTTGTTTCATAGAACCATTAAATTTTGAACAAATTACTTCATTACGTGATGACATCATCACATATTTACTATTGCTGATAAGACCAGTACCCATCCTTGGCCAGTGATTAGGGACTCTGTGTGTAAAGGTTTAACCCTCCTGCTGCTCTTAGTGCCCTCAATGTGACCCATGAAACCCATAGACTGAGGTCATAAACCAGAGGTGCCCAAAGTGGGGCCCGCGGGCCAAAATTGGCCCGCCGAGCCATTTGATTTGGRCCACCAGCAGTTAGATTGTAATTAGGTTAAGATTAAATATAAAATACAAGTAACTACAAGAGACATTTAGATTAACGCCCATATTTAGATTTGCACACCATATAAGACCACATATACTCAAATTTTAAATTATGAAAAGTCCCATGAGTCTTTGCTGCCTTAGCATAKGTTGAATTTTCTCCATGTCCATGGGCTGAAAAAAAAACTAAAGAATGTGGGCAACCACACTGGCTGGTTGTTTAAATAAAACAATTTAAGTATTTGCATTTCTTATACACTCTAAAAATGAAATGTTGGATTTACTTAACCATGTTATGTTACCTGCTTCCACTTAAATGAGTTGAGTAAATTCAAAGCAACATACTCATGTTCTTTGGCTAAAAAACTGGTATATTGCTTTGAATTTACTCAACTCAGTTAAGTGGAACCAGGTCACATACTGTACATGGTTAAGTAAATCCAACATTTTATTTTTTACAGTGTATTATTGCATTTGGCCTGCGGCCCTCAGATTGATTTTAATTTTGGCCTTCTCAGGGAAAAAGTTTTTTTTTTATTTTGGCCCTCTCAGGGAAAATGGTTTTTTTTGGCCCTCTCAGGGAAAATGTTTGGGCACCCCTGTCCTAAACTAAGTGCAGCAGCAGAAGGATTTAGAAGTAGAATTCACCAGATACACTATAAAAATTTGGGTCTGCAGTTGTTTTAAGACAGCAGCAATCTGCTGTGGTCCTAGCCTCTCTCAGACTAGCTGTTAGCTTATGAGTCTGGTCATAATTAAAATCTGCTACTTCAATTTATGTTGCTCAAAAATCTTTGTGTCTGCAACAGGAAACATATTAAATGTTTTTATCTTTGCCATAGAATTCTTCTTAAAATGTTTCAAACTAACATTCCAAAGTAATTAGTTGTGATACTGTTCATATTTTCGGCCTCCATCATCCATTGCAGTTCCTTTGTAGCGATAGATCTTGATGCAGTGATTCATGCTGTCTGATACAACCACATGTCCATCAGGTAGAAGCGTCAGACCTCTTGGACTGCTGAGGTTGTCACTAATCAGAGGCCAGCCCACACCTTTGGATGGAAATATTAGCACACAGTGCTTTTGTTTCCCCCAATCAGTCACCAAAACATCTCCATCACTATCTATACAAAGACCCCAGGGGCAGGTAAGGACAGGCCCAAGGCCAGAGCACACTCCCAGGATGCGGATAGTGTTCCAGCCTGGTTCCAGGACTCGAATGCATGGGACACGCCCAGTTTCATTGCCACGTTCTGTTACTGCCATAAGCCCAGTGGTGAGGCATGCTGCCACCAAGTAGGGTCTGTGGTACCCAGTAACCATTGTGCGCTCTAACCTTGCCCCTGTTTTAGGATCTAATTTTAAAGCWGTTAAGGTGCCACGCTTGATGTCAGCCACCAGGAACTCATCTTGCCATGTAACTGTGATCCCTCTYGGTGCATCCAGCTCTTCCTTGGTGGAACCGACCATCGTGCCTCCAAATGTTTGCAGGAGGCGTCCGTGTCGACTGAAAACCAACACGGCCCGTTCAGCGGCGCAGGTCAACGCAATCAGCCCCCTTGAATTTACAGCTACATCGAAGTAGTTGCAGATGCGGGAAGACCTTTCGGGGCCTGAGGGAGACACTTGCTGTACAATGTTCTTTTGGAGATCTGTCACTTGAATTCGAGCGTTACCACAGTCTACCACAAACAGTTGCCCTTTGGCAGTTGCATGGACACCACTAGGCAAGTTGAAGTCAGTGCGGCCTGATCCTTGTTTCCCAAACTGTTTGACCAAGCAAGCTGAGTCGAGAGCGACAGAACCACCTACATTGTCCAAATTCCTACAAGCTGCCTCAACGCCCTCTTTCTCATCTTTGTTGTATCTCTSTGCTTCCTTGACTTGATGTAATTTTTCACCTTCAATGGCTGACATGGACTGAGATCTGTTGACACGGTTCACACTTAAACTGTGTGGATCACGAGTTTGAGATCTTGACTGTCTATCATTTCCTCGACCTTGCTCAGAAGCTGAAGTGAGACGCATTCTGTTGACTTTTCTAATTCCTTTTTGCTCAGTCTTGTCACTGTCAATCAAAGGAAGCTTTTTTCCAGAGAGGTCAGCCATGGACATTGACTGGTAGTGGCCTTGCTTCAAAGATTGTTTTGATGGAGTGTCCAAAGTAAAGGTGTAGCAGGAGTCTTCACTACCTACTGGGGATGGAGGGCTCCCACTGTCCATTGAAGGTTCAGTCAAGGACTTCTTCTTGGAGAGGATTTGTTGTGAAGAAGTAAGATGCCTTGTGGAAAGGTCTAGCAGACCGTGCCTGGAGAGTGAACCTTTACGTCTACATTTTGGAGATCTTATTGCATTGCTTCTTTTTTCATTGGTTTCTTCAACAGAACAGGACGGTTCTTCATGTGAGACCAAGATAAAAGTCTTTTGCCTCCTTTTATTTTTTGCCACTCCATGTRTTTTTGTTTCGTTGGGTCTGCCATCAACATCATCACTTTCTGATTCCGCTTGACTAGAGAATTGTGGAATAGACAAAAATAGATCTTGTCCCTGTGTATCTGAAGAGATGGATTCTACCTCTTCATCTTGGGATGATTCGGAAACACTGCAGTGTCTTGGAATGGGAGATGTGGGTGTTTTAAAGTCTTCGTCATTTTCTGTAGAGCTAGACAGTTGTAGTTTCCGGACAATGCGCATGTTCCCTCCAGTTGATTTATTACATTCCTCTGGACTACACCGTTGCCCTCCTTTGCTCGACTGTGGTTCCTTTCGAATTTCACATGGAGTTACATTTGAAAATGTTTCGTCACCAGAGTGTAATGCGCACTTCTGTCRTTGGATGCCGCAGACGCCAACATGGTATGTCATGCCCTGCTCACAAACAMCAACCTCTCCCAGGTAAAAGGTCTTGGACTGGGAGCTTGGTAGGAAATGAACTCTTTTCAGAGTGAGAGAGATTTCCCATGGTTGTGTGACCTCTGCCACACCTTTTTGTAGCTGATCTTTGTTGGATCCACCAGCAGTGAAACCCCATCTTTGAATCTGTTCCCTCAGTTGTCCAATTTTTCGAAGTTGTTGGTCAACAAGCGTCTGCAGGACTCTCACAGCTGCAGCGTTCTCCCTCTTCACTTGACTAAGTTGTCGCTGGGCTTCCCTGTGGTCCTGCTCCACCTTCTCAAGAAGGCGCCGCTCCTCTCGCTGAGCTTCTATCACAGCGTTGTCCAGCTCACGATTCACTTCCTCTATTTCAGCTTGCTGTCGCTCCCTGAGACTCTGGAGTTCTCGTTCCCCTTTCTCCAAGTTTAAAATTGCCTGTGTCACCCATGGAGGTGAAAATGTAGGTGATTGGGGTGTAAAGATTGACTCCTGTGGGGTGTAGAATAAAGGAGGTGAGGGGGTCACCTCARGCTGATTTGAAAAGTTGTAATTCAGCAAGGCTGTCAATCCAGGGAGGGCTTTTCTTTCAGAGTGGGAC